CACCCTTACCCACTGCCTGGTATCTACACCACTTCCCACAATCCACATACTCCACAGCTCAACTCTCTGGTTGCCTTGTTCACTGTCAGGTTGGTCACAGATGGCATGAGCCCTCCTATCAACTTGATCAGACCAATAGTTCAGGCTGTCTGGAATATTTCCCTCTGCAGTGGTCAATGTCTACTGCTTCCAGTTAAGGTGAAAATGTCCAGTCATGTACACAGCCAACTACCCAGGTTATAAGAGGGAGTGGGAATGGACTACATAAATTCCTGACCCTAGATGATGGATTAGTTTGTGCCTTGATAGATGAGGGTTGCTACCCCTTCACATTTTTTAATCAGCCTCAGTGGCTCCCACTCTGTGATGTATAAACCACTTAAAGGCCTGCTTCTGTCAGCATTTGTCCCTTCTCCCTGATAGTTGTCAACCACGTCAGATTGGATTCTTGTAGGTTTTTGAGCCATAGCAAATGCCAAGTTAACAACACCCTTCCATTCCCTCTCTGGCAGCTTCATGCATTTCTTTTGCAAGGCTTTCTTGGGTGTAAAATCAAATCTGCACAGCCCTGCATGGACAGGGCAGAACCAAACTGCAGAGTGGCTGGGAGATGGGAAAGCCATGTGGCTAAACATAGTATGGGAAAAGTAGGAAAAGCCAGTCTGTCCTAGTGAATGTCAAACCCTTCAGCCAGGAAGTGGAAATAAACAGTCCAGCCACAAAATGGTAGGCTGTAACAAAGTAGCTGCACCCATCTGATTCAAGGATGTTGATTTTTTTTTTTTGCATTGTTACCTTTTCATGCAGTTAAATATCCCAGTTTCTGCAGATGGGTAGAAAAACCTGCTTTACATATATTTTAAAATGACCACATTTATTGTCACCATCGCTGTGCATCTTAATTACACTGCTGCTCTCTGATGCTTGGAGCAAACTCTCTACTTTCCCTACAGCACCACACTATTACTGTTGCTGGGAATACCACTTATGTAGTTGCCTTCATATGAGGATCTCTAAATATTTTATAAAATCTGGGATTAGGACATGGCCACATATGGAATCCAAGGCCTGGAGAAATTGCCAAAGAGCACACATGGATTCAATGACAGATAAAAATAGAACCCATGAATCCTGGTCGCAGATGCCTGATGTACCCATATTGCTGAAGATGCATCCCCTTCACAACACTGTTCTTTACCATGGAAAGTGATGCTATTGCATTCCTTAATTGCTTTACAACAGGTATTATCATTATCAGTGCCACTTCCATAATCTCACAGCCAAGCAAAGTTAAAGAGACTGTTACTACCATTTCTTTTTAGATTAAATATTTTCTTAGTTAGTCATGGTAATCTGAAATTCAGAATTATGGTACATTTTTGTTTGTTTGGGGAAAAATGATAAAAAAATCTCTTTTTCCCAGATCAATTTTTTAAACAAAAAAGGTTCTGAATTTTATGGCACTTCCTCAAATTAAGCAGCTAAATTTTATAAAAAGGAACTGAAAACTGACAGTAAAACCAAGTAACCTCTTCCTCTAGTAAAAAATAGTAAAAATGAAAAAGACTATTTAGCTTGTTTTAATTGAAACAAATCTGTTTGGTTTTCAGGGGCAATGGAGAGATTTTTTTTTTGTCAAGAACCTGAAATATTCTGCAGCAAAATTTAGAAAAAGAGAAACATTTTTCAATCTTTCAAAAATTTTCAGCCTAATCCAGACCAAGTTTTGACCCACTCATGTATCTCATTGTGGCAAGATTAGAGCCATATTCATGCAATTTCTCAGCTGGAAATGGGTTTGGCTGTTGACCATTCCTTTTTTTTTTTTTTTTTACTTGCCTTAAGCAGAACAAAAAAATACTCCTTTTGCAAGTGATAGGCAGACATGGCTTCAGAAATTATTTTCATGTTTCTAACAGTTTTGCTTTTTGCTTCTTCTGAGCTTTTTTTTTTGATTCCACAAATGAAGTGGGATAGCCTTGTTTGAAAGATGTCAGAGTACAACATTCAATGATCTATCAATCAGGAAGAAAACCCAGATACCTGTTTCTAGCAAGCAATGAGTGTTGTAGAGTTTACTTCCATGGAGTTCACTCATATCGAAGACAAACCAGACATACAAAGACAGTTTGAAGGGTTGCTTTCCTCCCATTTTACACATACTACAAACACAGGTATATTCTTAAAAGTGAATCTGATTGGTCCAGATTGACAGCGTTTCAGTGTTTGGTCTCTAGTGACTGCTTAGAAATTATCTTTTGTCTCACCCTTTTATTTTTGTGGCTGGTTAGAACTCAGACACATGTTTTCAAAAAAAAATCCAAGCCGATCTTAAAAATAAAATAATAATAATTTAAAAAAAAATTACTTTTTTTTCCTGAATAAAAGCCAAATATAGTTCTACCTTGGCCAAGTCATCTTATCAAGATTTAAGAAGAGAACAGTAAAAATACCTTCAGCATGTGGGGAATGTATTAGATGCACACACAGAGTACTCTTGTAACACTAGTAATAAGCATTATCAAACTTATTTTACAATAAGAAGACAATTGAGAAACAGCATAGAAGTTGAGAGGTAAATATGAAAGTATTTCTATCTTGGATTCTATATGTTTAACTGTGTGGGAACCAAGATTAAGAACACGTTGCCCTTCTACAGCCCCTGGCATAGGGGGCCCTCAACGCACTGCATCTGCCTTACTGAATAAGGTTTCACAGCTCTCAGGAGGTAAGAAACCATTTTGCACTTGCACTGAACTAAGTGAAGCAAAGAGGTGATGGGACTTGTCCATGGATGCTGCAAAAGGCTGTAGCAGAGCTGTGAACAAAACCAGATCAGTGGCTGATGCCTGTACAAGACTACACTCTGTCAAGGCAAATAAATATCCTGTTTCAGGACTACAGCAAAGTATTCTCAGCAACAGGCCTGCCTGAAAACTAAAACTTTTACACAGAGACAAATTTTCTTGGACACCAACAGCTCATTTCTTTGGTGTCCTGGCCAGTAATAAAGATAACTATGAAATAAGAACAGTTTTCTCTTTCTGAATGCAATCAGTCTCTTGAGCTGTAGGGCAGGGTTTTAAACCTAAGCAGAAATGGGTTCAAGCCACAGTGTTTGTACCCAGACTTCTCCACAGTCTGAGTGTGTTCACATGCAAACTTGAAAAATCGACTCATTACCTACCGAGCTGACAACTACAGAGACCATTTTTAGATGTGCCCAACTGATTTGGGAGCTTCAGTACCTACTAGCCAGAGTGAACTACATCTGTGAAACCACATTTCCTTCAACTGAAAATACTAACCATTCTTCATTTATTCAGCCCTGTACTTAAGTGACACTTGTTAATCATCTTGCTATATTTTTAATTTCACTTACTCCATCTCCCATACTTTAGCGTTGTTTCCCTATTTCTCTCTTTTTTCTCCTGTTATAGTCCATGATGTAACTATTCCACATTGTTTTCAGTGTCTATTTTCAACTCTATTTCTGTTCCTCCAACCTCTTCTTCATTCTCTCCAATGGGGTTTCTGCCTCCTCCCCATATATTTTCTTTTTTTCTACTTTCTCTGCCACTGAAAAAAAATTCACTCCCATGTGGTACTTCTGTTTATTCTCCCAGAGGCAGAAATCTGCTGCCTTCCTATTTCCACAGTCAAACCCTTACTTCCAGCTACATGCTCACCCCTTTCAACTGTGTACCATGCTTCAAAAGGTCGTGATGAAACAGAAGAAAGAGTGAACTAAAGTTTATGAATACCAACGTGGGGAGAAGATTTCTGACAGCAGAGGGCTCTTCAAACCATCAGACAAAGGCAAAGTAAGATCTGATGTTTAGAAACTGAAGCTACAGATTCAGACTAGAGATGAGGTGCAAATATTAAGCAGTGAGTAAAGCCAGTCAGGGAGATGCCTGATGCAAGCGTGAGGATTCCTCATCTCTTGAGGTTTTAAATTGGGATTAGACCTTGTTCTAAATCTCAGGCAGGAGGTAGGTTTTTGTAGCAGGAATCACTACAAGAAATTCTACAGTCTCATTCAGGTGGGGGATATGACTAAATTGTCATAATAACCCTTTCTAGCCTAAACATCTATGAGGAGGATGAGACACCACTGCCCAGGACCTCTGTCCAGTTAAGAATCTATGTCGCTGTCCAACTGCTTGACCTTCACCGGGGTACTACCTCTGGACTCTGCCTGTTACCTTCAGCCAGTAAGTTTTGATAAATCTGAATCCTCCATACTTCTTTTGCCTACTAGGAAAATTCTCCTTCTTAGTCTAGCCTCCAATTCCAGAGCCTGCTGAGTGCTGCAACAGAGGGAAAGACTTCAATCCACCCCAGCTGCATTTCTGAGAAGTCCTCCCTTTGGCAGAGGCTCCAGTCCCTGACACTGCTGCTGCTTAGGGCTGCTCTAAACAGCTTCTCTAAACTAATTCTTATCAGTTTCACCATTGTTCCCATAAGTATCAGCAACAAAATGGTCAAGGTTGTCCAGTTTTACTGTCTTGCAGATTGGGAAAACTCTTAGTAGCAAGACAGCAGTAAGGCCAAAGACTCACAGAGCCGACTAAAGCTCAGTTTGTACTCAGGCTCCATTCAGAAACACTATCTTTGGGACCAGATGTGTCAGAAGTATTATTTTTTAAATAAGCATAGCTTCAGTACTGTGGAATGGACAAGCATACTTCTAACAGCCATAGTTAGGTGGATTTTTCAAGGGCTGTCTGGATCCATTCTGAATCCTGGATTTATGACACTGCAGTAACTCACAATGGAAATAAAAGAGTTAATATTTATTCTGTGCTTCAAGCACACAATCATTATCACTGTTGTCAGAAGGTCGGCATTCAGATGCCACTTCAGGATTAGAGAGACACCATTAGCTGTAGGTGTGCACACCATTGTTTTAAACATAGGCAGTTCCAGTAATGACCTATGGACACGGCAGTATCATACATGACAGCTCAGCTAAAAGATAAACAGTGTGTTCTTAATAACTTACATCTGGAGCCGTGGTATGGCCGAGTGGTTAGAGCACAGGACTGGGATCCAGGATTCCCGAGTTGTCTTCCTGGCTCTGCCACTGACTTGCCGTGTGAATTTAAGACAAGTCACTCCAAAGCTCTGTGCCTCAGTTTTCTCATCTGAAAAAAATGGACATCATGCTTAGACACATCAACAGTGTGTGTAGTGGGGGTCAGATTGGTAATGCTTATAAAGAATTTTTGGATCTTTGGAAGGATGCTGCTATGGAACAGCAGTGTTTTCCTATCAACACTGTTGTTTATACACTGTTTTTATTTCAAATGTATTGGATTACAAAACAATCTGCTCCAGTCCCTGCAGAAGTGCCACCACCTCTGGAGTGCAGGATGGGTGCTGTTTAACAATGCACAGTAACACTGTAGAACCCCTTAAGCCAAGAAGTGAAAAAAAGTACTGGACGTGGCTGAAACTTTAAGGTATCCAGGTTGTAGCCACATTGGTCTAGAGTCAAAAGGAAACAGAACTCAGAATTCAAGGAGGCAATGGAGGGATCCTACTGAAATTCAGCTGGGACTTGAGGAGATCTTTAACCCTAAGTGACCTGAATCTCTATTTTAACATCCAACCTGAAAGACAATGCCTCCAGTACCATCGGTGCTATGGCAAGTAAGTTTGGCACCTGGGGCAAAGCCCGCAGTGGCAGCCCGCCCTCGCCCCGCGCACCGATCCGGGGGGGGGCACATGCCCCCCATCATGCTTGCCCGCCTTCCCCCTGTCCCCAAGCCTCCCCAAATGAGCTGCTCACGACTCCATCCTGTGTCCTGCCCCAGCTGGGCAGTGCCTGTTGCTTAGGCACTCACCCCGCTCACCCGCCTTGCTACAGCACTGAGTACCATGGTTTCTCCTCCCGTCAAGCTGGGTCTCTGGTGCTGACCTGACCAGCAACAACACTGCCTCTCAGTCAGTGACTCTACTTTCTGCAGCATGCTGATCTTTTAGGGGGTTCTCCAGGCCAAACACCAGCAAACTGCAATGGGAAACACCTGCAGAAATCATGTTTATGTTTCACCTTCTATATCAGCTTTTCTCCTCATAAATGTCTGTCTCAGAAAAAGATGGATCAATAGACTGGGCCTTCAATTTTAATAGTGGAAGAGGCCATGCTGACAATGCAAGTCCATTCTTGCCAGGCCTTGTGGACAAGGTTGTCTCACTGATTTCAGTGGGATTTCTATGCAGAAAGTGGTTGCAGAATTGGACCGAGGGGAAAAATTTACTGGTTGAAAAGGGGAAGAGTTTATGTATTTTACACACTGGCAACACACCAGTGCCTGGGCAAGAACAGTATGTGAAGTGCAAAGCAGCCTGCTGGATCAGTTCATGAGTGGAGAACTTGAAACAGATCAGCTCTGCTTTGCTCTCTCCAGCTGAACAGTGTTTTTGTGGCACTGGGAATTTGCTGTGGCTTCTGAAGATTATGAGGATATGCTTCAGCGAGCCAAAAAAGAAAAAAGCAAAGGCAGGCATAAACAAAATTTTTTAAAAAGGAAAAAAAAAAAGAACAGAACAGAACAGCTGATCTCCTTGCTGGAGAAGACACTGGCATCTTCCTACACATGCACAATTTTCTTTGGTATTTCCTGATTCTCCAGCAAGAAAAAAAAAATCATCACAGAACTTCTTTTTTTCTTTGGGGAGGGAATAGCAATTTTTCTCATGCTGGTTCTTAAAGCTTGGTGGGATATGTAATTGAGATTAACAGGTCAAAGAGGTTTATGATTGGGGGGGCCCTTCAAGAGACTGTTAACTTCTTTCTGGCTCTCCAGATGGTCAAAACTGTGATCATAAAATATGGGTTTTTGGGAAAATGTCATGACAGCTCTTATGTAAAGGATTGGATTCTGTTCCCAATGACTTCAGTGGAAGCAGAGTGAGGCATGAACTCTAGTTTTTCATCTGAAAACCCAAACAAGGGTTGAAAATCTAGAGTGCAAAGGTGGAAAAAAAAGCTCTCTCTTTCAACAGAGATGGGCTAAAATTTCAAAATCTGTATCTGAAGTGCTGATGGTGCCAAAATGCAAGAGTACCTGGATGTGTGGTTTTGGCTCAGCCAAGTCTTACTGATCTCCCTGGATCTTTTGAAGAATGAGACAAGGGGTTTGAAGAAGAGGATGACAAGTGCAAGAAGGTGGAATCACAAAAATCACAGTTTGGGTTTTGAGAGATTAAAATTGTAAATCTAATTAGTTGGAGGAAATTGGCTGCTTATAATTTTCATTTTTTTGTCAAAGAAACACTAAAAATAAAAAATAGAAAATGGGAAAATTAATGTTTCAGTAATTAGTTAATCAGAAAATGTTCTTGTTCTAAAAGTAAGTGATTCTCTATCCATTTTCCCAAACATCGTAATATTCACCTAAGAGTTAGGAAAAAATATTAGACATTTCCCCTTCAATAGTGCTTTAATAGTAGACCCCTGAAAATCTGTTCTTTTGCTGAATGTGCCATCTTACCCCTAACTATAATAAATACATAATAGATACATGTATACTTGCAAAAACAAACCAAAACTGATAAGCTTGATATGATCAGTCTAAGGAACAGAAAGTCCAAAGTGTGCAATTAGAAGACTGTCCTTAAACTGAAGCACATCATTTTACCATGTCATTCAACTGGAGTCTCTGGTATCTGAAAACAGGAGGCATCTTATCAAACTAAGGGACAATCTGCGCCTCCTGGGAGCAGTCTTCTAATCTTAGGCTTGTAAGTCACACTGCTGCACTAAAGAGACCTGTTATACAAGCTGGTTTCCCCCTTGGTGACCATCCACAACCGAGCGGGCTGAATTCTGGTTGGTTTTTAACAGAAATCCAATGGGAGCAAACAAATATAACCCTGGCTTCAAGTTATGCTAGCGGAGTTTCACTGGCCATGTGTTTGGCCTATTCAGACCATCACTGACCTGATATATCAAATATTCAGCTACCATACTTCAACTATAATTTTCAGAGGCTACCAGAAAACATTCATTGTTTGATGCACACATGCATCCATTCCATCACCATTTGTGTTTATACCTGCCTTGAAATGCTGTGCAGACAAATTAAAGAAAAAGCTCAGGCGGGTGTGTTTTTTTAGAAGTTGAGCTCACCACGTACAATTGGTCAGGGATGGTAAGGTGGCATATAAGCCTTTTCCAGTGTATCTATACAGGCCTCAACTATAACCTTCTCCTTCATCTCTCTACTGATTATCAAGTCACGGGTGGCTATGAGAGATCTCACAAACAAATAGCTGCAGCTATGACTATTCAGAACATTGGTGTGTGCGTAGAGCAACAAAGAACATAATGTACTGGGCATAAACAGTATACCATTTTTAAATGTTCATCACACTTATTTCAAAACCAAATTTTTTCCAGCAAAGCCCACAACTCTTCATGCAGGACCAAGATTATGCCTATGTATGAAATATTAAATAAAGCTTGTTTAGTAGATGGGGTAAAGAGAGATAAAGAAGAGGGGAAGAAAAAGAAAAAGAAAAACAGCCTTTAAAATGTTTTACATAGTTAAAGATTTCATTTGAGCTCTGACGTCTAAAAAAAAGGGAAACAGGCTTTCTTCAAACTGCTGAGATTGAATACAAGATATTACAACCCCAATGGTAATTTTCTGAGGAAGTTATAAGCAGATGAAAAATAAGGGTTCAGAATGGAAGTGCTGTCTCAACCGTCGTTATACCATCTCTTCTGTAGTGAGTATGTGCCACATACACTATACTACAAGATATGCACACAGATTTTTTTTTCCAGTTTCCAATAGGTTTTGCAAGTGATGGGCCTAATCCTCATGTCCCGTCTCTTTTTTAATTAACCCTTATGCAAGCAAATTCCCATATGATTTCAGCCAAAAACTGTTCAAGTCAGGTTAAAAAATGAGTAGGGACATAAAGATTTAGTTCAATACACCTAAGGTAACACTGAAAACTATTACCTCTGGGTCTGTCACAGAAAGTATACATTTTAGTAGACAATGTTGGAGAAAAATGCATTCATGTATTAACTCAAATACAATCTAATAAGAAAGTGGCATGGTGCATATATCTGCAAATCCATGCACACAGGTGTCATCGATATAAAGTACAGAAAACTACTTGCATATATGAAACACACATGTACTTTCCATTTGAGGGTGGCAACCAACCAGAGCACAGCAGGCCAGAGAATTGTTTTGGAGGAAGAGGTGGGGGAGTGAGCACTGGGAAACCAAGTCAAAGCCTCTGACTCTTATGAAAAGTGCCATGAGTACTTTAATGTTCCTAGATAGCAGCCAGGACCTTGCTTTTTAAAGTCTCATCAAACACATGCAAAAATACATTGATTTGCAGGAAAAATATAACAATATTCTCAGCATGGGGGGAGCTGTGTGAATAACTGATTTTTTAGTTTGTTGGCAAAGGTGGGTGAAGAAAAAAAAACAACCTTATTCCTGGAAATGTTTTCTTCTCCCTGCTGAAATTAAAAATAAAGCTACATATGGACACTGTTTTGCATAATGAAATATTTTATTGGGGGGGGGGATTTTTTACTTTTAATTTAAAATTAAATTACGGGGAATTGTGAGATGAAACAACATTTCAAAAAAGAGAAAGGAAATGTTTAATTTGTAGTATCACAATAATTTTTTTTTCTTCCTTTCTTGTTATTTTTTTTTTGGTGGCTGGCTGAAACAATATAACTGATTTTACATTAGTCTGCAGATTTTTTTGGTGACTCGAGCACACATTTTCAAGCAAAAAGTTTTGCCCGGCTCTAAGCAGGAGTAAACAATTGTTAAAACCTGTGCATGTGGGGAAGCCAATTTTTTCACTAAACCAAAAAGTACTTCTCTCCCATCAACGCTATTTCCAGAACGACCGTCCATCTGATTGTACACGACAGATTTCCAGCTGCTGTCTTACCCCCGCCATCCCATCATTTGCCACCCATGTTCAATTTCAGGCAACTTCAGTTGTAGCAAATACAACCCAGGTCTGATCGGTATTCCGACCATTGATTCTGGATTCCCTGGTCAGAATATTTTCTTTTCCTATCAGCCTCTGCCTGAACTTCCACTGTTGCTTTTGTGGATGCATAACAGCTTAGCAAACAGATCATTAT